CTTAAACTACTGTAAGTCAACACACCCCGAAGACTCTCAAACCAGGGTAACATTATAATTAAATAACACTGTAACGTTCCATGATCAACAATAAAGCTGTAACCTGTTTGCAGTCGGCGTTTGGTTCTCTGGTTCAGGGTCTTGCTCAAGGGCACCTTCAGCAATGTGTTCAGTCCGTGCTGGCCTCAAACCAGCGACCATAGCCTCCGGAACATTTTCAAATATTAGACTGCGTCATCATAAAGGACGCTGTGAGCAGGGTTCGAACCTGCGCGGGGAACCCCCATTGGATTTCAAGTCCAACGCCTTAACCACTCGGCCATCACAGCCACGTTCGGACGCCATTTTCGCTATGAAATGTGAAATGCAATCAATGACAGCTTAAACTACTGTCAGTCAACACACCCCGCAGACTCTCAAACCCGTTATGTTACATGATTAACAATAAACCTGTAACATGTTTTTCACAGAACACAACCATGAAATGTTGATGGTGTTGCCTAACCAAAAGTATAGAGCTGCCTAACTTGGCATCATTGAACTCGAACGGTTTGTTAAACCCCTCCCTGAACAGTGATAATCCAATCATAGCTTAGCATCAGTAACGAGGTGAGTACGGAGATGTTCCCACAAAGTTTGGAGGTATTTAAACTGAGCATGTCATAAGTATGGAAACCAGTCAAGTCTCAAGTCTCTGAGCTAGAGTCCATGTCAACTCTCAAGTCACTTGGGTTATAATGAATGTTGTATCAGCTGCTGCGTTCAATCCAGGCTGCTTATAACACTGCATAGCTACAAGGAATTCTGTAACTGTGAGCCGTTTTTCACTTACAGAGCACAACCATGTAATGTGCAATGCAATCAAGGACAGCATAAACTACTGTCAGTCAACACACCCCGAAGACTCTTAAACCCAGTGCAATGTTAAATAAAAATGTAACGTTACATGTTGTAACATGTTTTTGACAGAGCACAACCATGAAATGTGCAATGCAATCAATGACAGCTTAAACTACTGTCAGTCAACACACCCCGCAGACTCTCAAACCGTGTAATGTTAACCAATGTTAAATAAAAATGTAACGTTACATGATTAACAATAAACCTGTAACATGTTTTTGACAGAGCACAACCATGAAATGTGAAATGCAATCAATGACAGCTTAAACTACTGTAAGTCAACAGATTCCCCAGACTCTCAAACCCAGTGTAATGCTAACTAATGTTAAATAAAAATGTAACGTTACATGATTAACAATAAACTTGTAACCTGTTTTTCACAGAGCACAACCATGTAGCCTAATGTACCATGCGTCTACAAGTAATGGCAGCTTATTAACTACTGTAAGTCAAAACACACCCCAGACTGTCAAACCAGCGTAAAAACTGTAACGATGCATGATCAACCTGTTTTTCGCAGAGCACAACCATGTAATGTGCAATGCAATCAAGGACAGCTTAAACTACTGTAAGTCAACACACCCCGAAGACTCTCAAACCAGGGTAACATTATAATTAAATAACACTGTAACGTTCCATGATCAACAATAAACCTGTAACCTGTTTGCAGTCGGCGTTTGGTTCTCTGGTTCAGGGTCTTGCTCAAGGGCACCTTCAGCAATGTGTTCAGTCCGTGCTGGCCTCAAACCAGCGACCATAGCCTCCGGAACATTTTCAAATATTAGACTGTGTCATCATAAAGGACGCTGTGAGCAGGGTTCGAACCTGCGCGGGGAACCCCCATTGGATTTCAAGTCCAACGCCTTAACCACTCGGCCATCACAGCCACGTTCAGACGCCATTTTCGCTATGAAATGTGAAATGCAATCAATGACAGCTTAAACTACTGTCAGTCAACACACCCCGCAGACTCTCAAACCCGTTATGTTACATGATTAACAATAAACCTGTAACATGTTTTTCACAGAACACAACCATGAAATGTTGATGGTGTTGCCTAACCAAAAGTATAGAGCTGCCTAACTTGGCATCATTGAACTCGAACGGTTTGTTAAACCCCTCCCTGAACAGTGATAATCCAATCATAGCTTAGCATCAGTAACGAGGTGAGTACGGAGATGTTCCCACAAAGTTTGGAGGTATTTAAACTGAGCATGTCATAAGTATGGAAACCAGTCAAGTCTCAAGTCTCTGAGCTAGAGTCCATGTCAACTCTCAAGTCACTTGGGTTATAATGAATGTTGTATCAGCTGCTGCGTTCAATCCAGGCTGCTTATAACACTGCATAGCTACAAGGAATTCTGTAACTGTGAGCCGTTTTTCACTTACAGAGCACAACCATGTAATGTGCAATGCAATCAATGACAGCTTAAACTACTGTCAGTCAAAACACCCCGAAGACTCTTAAACCCAGTGCAATGTTAAATAAAAATGTAACGTTACATGTTGTAACCTGTTTTTGACAGAGCACAACCATGAAATGTGCAATGCAATCAATGACAGCTTAAACAACTGTCAGTCAACACACCCCGCAGACTCTCAAACCGTGTAATGTTAACCAATGTTAAATAAAAATGTAACGTTACATGATTAACAATAAACCTGTAACATGTTTTTGACAGAGCACAACCATGAAATGTGAAATGCAATCAATGACAGCTTAAACTACTGTAAGTCAACAGATTCCCCAGACTCTCAAACCCAGTGTAATGCTAACTAATGTTAAATAAAAATGTAACGTTACATGATTAACAATAAACTTGTAACCTGTTTTTCACAGAGCACAACCATGTAGCCTAATGTACCATGCGTCTACAAGTAATGGCAGCTTATTAACTACTGTAAGTCAAAACACACCCCGAAGACTCTCAAACCCAGTGTAATGTTAACTAATGTTAAATAAAAATGTAACGAGCACAACCATGTAATGTGCAATGCAATCAATGACAGCTTAAACTACTGTCAGTCAACACACCCCGAAGACTCTCAAACCCAGTGTAATGTTAAGTAATGTTAAATAGAAATGTAACGAGCACAACCATGTAATGTGCAATCCAAACTAAATTGAACTTTACGAGGCAAACAGCAGCGAGTCTGGAAGAAGAGCTGACACAACTGCACGACACTAATTTGAAAACAGGGAGAACAGACCGTTTGTTAAACCCCTCCCTGAACAGTGATAGTCCAATCATAGCTTAGCATCAGTAACGAGGTGAGTACGGAGATGTTCCCACAAAGTACATACAAAGAGTTTGGAGGGTAGTGACTTCTTTGGTCGTTCCAAAACCAAAAACACAAGATCAGAAGTCTAAGGAATGGATTAAACTGCATGTTTATCTGCTGCTAACTTTAGCATGTCCAGCTAACTAGCAACCTGCGAAAGTAACCTACTGTTACTTCCAAGGCCAATAGTTAGCATAAAGTTGAGTTATTATCACACATTTTTACACAGTACACGGGATATAACCGATCCTAACTAGGAGCCGTGGGCAGCCATTGTGCAGCTCTTGCTCGATGGCACCTTTGGGCTGGACTCAAACGGGCGAGTATAATCTGCAAAAAAGTCGAATATGGGTCACTTTGGCCTGCAGTCTGAAGTTTAACCTAATATTGGTGGCTGTGATGGCCGAGTGGTTAAGGCGTTGGACTCGAAATCCAATGGGGTTTCCCCGCGCAGGTTCAAACCCTGTAATGTGTTTAATGACATGGTTCAACATGTAACATAAAAAATTATCCTATCATTTAAATAATATGCTACTTAGCATGTCATAAGTATATATATAATACAATTAACCAAATGAGATCTATTGTATGGTATGAAGGTCAGGTAAGTTACAGTATAGGTAAAACAACAATAAATCTACATTGAACTTTACACTGGAGTCTGGAAGAAGAGATATGTTAAACCCCTCCCTGAACAGTGATAATCCAATCATAGCTTAGCATCAGTAACGAGGTGAGCACCACAAAGTTTGGAGGTATTTAAACTGAGCATGTCATAAGTATGGAAACCAGTCAAGTCTCAAGTCTCTGAGCTAGAGTCCATGTCAACTCTCAAGTCACTTGGGTTATAATGAATGTTGTATCAGCTGCTGCGTTCAATCCAGGCTGCTTATAACACTGCATAGCTACAAGGAATTCTGTAACTGTAAGCCGTTTTTCACTTACAGAGCACAACCATGTAATGTGCAATGCAATCAATGACAGCTTAAACTACTGTAAGTCAACACACCCCGCAGACTGTCAAACCCAGTGCAATGTTAAATAAAAATGTAACGTTACATGTTGTAACCTGTTTTTGACAGAGCACAACCATGAAATGTGCAATGCAATCAATGACAGCTTAAACTACTGTCAGTCAACACACCCCGCAGACTCTCAAACCGTGTAATGTTAACCAATGTTAAATAAAAATGTAACGTTACATGATTAACAATAAACCTGTAACATGTTTTTGACAGAGCACAACCATGAAATGTGAAATGCAATCAATGACAGCTTAAACTACTGTAAGTCAACACACCCCGCAGACTCTCAAACCCAGTGTAATGCTAACTAATGTTAAATAAAAATGTAACGTTACATGATTAACAATAAACTTGTAACCTGTTTTTCACAGAGCACAACCATGTAGCCTAATGTACCATGCGTCTACAAGTAATGGCAGCTTATTAACTACTGTAAGTCAAAACACACCCCAGACTGTCAAACCAGCGTAAAAACTGTAACGATGCATGATCAACCTGTTTTTCGCAGAGCAAAACCATGTAATGTGCAATGCAATCAAGGACAGCTTAAACTACTGTAAGTCAACACACCCCGAAGACTCTCAAACCAGGGTAACATTATAATTAAATAACACTGTAACGTTCCATGATCAACAATAAAGCTGTAACCTGTTTGCAGTCGGCGTTTGGTTCTCTGGTTCAGGGTCTTGCTCAAGGGCACCTTCAGCAATGTGTTCAGTCCGTGCTGGCCTCAAACCAGCGACCATAGCCTCCGGAACATTTTCAAATATTAGACTGTGTCATCATAAAGGACGCTGTGAGCAGAGTATCGTACCTGCGCGGGGAACCCCCATTGGATTTCAAGTCCAATGCCTTAACCACTCGGCCATCACAGCCACGTTCGGACGCCATTTTCGCTATGAAATGTGAAATGCAATCAATGACAGCTTAAACTACTGTCAGTCAACACACCCCGCAGACTCTCAAACCCGTTATGTTACATGATTAACAATAAACCTGTAACATGTTTTTCACAGAACACAACCATGAAATGTTGATGGTGTTGCCTAACCAAAAGTATAGAGCTGCCTAACTTGGCATCATTGAACTCGAACGGTTTGTTAAACCCCTCCCTGAACAGTGATAATCCAATCATAGCTTAGCATCAGTAACGAGGTGAGTACGGAGATGTTCCCACAAAGTTTGGAGGTATTTAAACTGAGCATGTCATAAGTATGGAAACCAGTCAAGTCTCAAGTCTCTGAGCTAGAGTCCATGTCAACTCTCAAGTCACTTGGGTTATAATGAATGTTGTATCAGCTGCTGCGTTCAATCCAGGCTGCTTATAACACTGCATAGCTACAAGGAATTCTGTAACTTTAAGCCGTTTTTCACTTACAGAGCACAACCATGTAATGTGCAATGCAATCAAGGACAGCATAAACTACTGTAAGTCAACACACCCCGAAGACTCTTAAACCCAGTGCAATGTTAAATAAAAATGTAACGTTACATGTTATAACCTGTTTTTGACAGAGCACAACCATGAAATGTGCAATGCAATCAATGACAGCTTAAACTACTGTCAGTCAACACACCCCGCAGACTCTCAAACCGTGTAATGTTAACCAATGTTAAATAAAAATGTAACGTTACATGATTAACAATAAACCTGTAACATGTTTTTGACAGAGCACAACCATGAAATGTGAAATGCAATCAATGACAGCTTAAACTACTGTAAGTCAACAGATTCCCCAGACTCTCAAACCCAGTGTAATGCTAACTAATGTTAAATAAAAATGTAACGTTACATGATTAACAATAAACTTGTAACCTGTTTTTCACAGAGCACAACCATGTAGCCTAATGTACCATGCGTCTACAAGTAATGGCAGCTTATTAACTACTGTAAGTCAAAACACACCCCAGACTGTCAAACCAGCGTAAAAACTGTAACGATGCATGATCAACCTGTTTTTCGCAGAGCACAACCATGTAATGTGCAATGCAATCAATGACAGCTTAAACTACTGTCAGTCAACACACCCCGAAGACTCTCAAACCCAGTGTAATGTTAAGTAATGTTAAATAGAAATGTAACGAGCACAACCATGTAATGTGCAATCCAAACTAAATTGAACTTTACGAGGCAAACAGCAGCGAGTCTGGAAGAAGAGCTGACACAACTGCACGACACTAATTTGAAAACAGGGAGAACAGACCGTTTGTTAAACCCCTCCCTGAACAGTGATAGTCCAATCATAGCTTAGCATCAGTAACGAGGTGAGTACGGAGATGTTCCCACAAAGTACATACAAAGAGTTTGGAGGGTAGTGACTTCTTTGGTCGTTCCAAAACCAAAAACACAAGATCAGAAGTCTAAGGAATGGATTAAACTGCATGTTTATCTGCTGCTAACTTTAGCATGTCCAGCTAACTAGCTTACAACCTGCGAAAGTAACCTACTGTTACTTCCAAGGCCAATAGTTAGCATAAAGTTGAGTTATTATCACACATTTTTACACAGTACACGGGATATAACCGATCCTAACTAGGAGCCGTGGGCAGCCATTGTGCAGCTCTTGCTCGATGGCACCTTTGGGCTGGACTCAAACGGGCGAGTATAATCTGCAAAAAAGTCGAATATGGGTCACTTTGGCCTGCAGTCTGAAGTTTAACCTAATATTGGTGGCTGTGATGGCCGAGTGGTTAAGGCGTTGGACTCGAAATCCAATGGGATTTCCCCGCGCAGGTTCAAACCCTGCTCACAGCGGTCCTGTAATGTGTTTAATGACATGGTTCAACATGTAACATAAAAAACTATCCTATCATTTAAATAATATGCTACTTAACATGTCATAAGTATATATATATAATACAATTAACCAAATGAGATCTATGGTATGAAGGTCAGGTAAGTTACAGTATAGGTAAAACAACAATAAATCTACATTGAACTTTACACTGGAGTCTGGAAGAAGAGATATGTTAAACCCCTCCCTGAACAGTGATAATCCAATCATAGCTTAGCATCAGTAACGAGGTGAGCACCACAAAGTTTGGAGGTATTTAAACTGAGCATGTCATAAGTATGGAAACCAGTCAAGTCTCAAGTCTCTGAGCTAGAGTCCATGTCAACTCTCAAGTCACTTGGGTTATAATGAATGTTGTATCAGCTGCTGCGTTCAATCCAGGCTGCTTATAACACTGCATAGCTACAAGGAATTCTGTAACTGTAAGCCGTTTTTCACTTACAGAGCACAACCGTGTAATGTGCAATGCAATCAATGACAGCTTAAACTACTGTAAGTCAACACACCCCGCAGACTGTCAAACCCAGTGCAATGTTAAATAAAAATGTAACGTTACATGTTGTAACCTGTTTTTGACAGAGCACAACCATGAAATGTGCAATGCAATCAATGACAGCTTAAACTACTGTCAGTCAACACACCCCGCAGACTCTCAAACCGTGTAATGTTAACCAATGTTAAATAAAAATGTAACGTTACATGATTAACAATAAACCTGTAACATGTTTTTGACAGAGCACAACCATGAAATGTGAAATGCAATCAATGACAGCTTAAACTACTGTAAGTCAACACACCCCGCAGACTCTCAAACCCAGTGTAATGCTAACTAATGTTAAATAAAAATGTAACGTTACATGATTAACAATAAACTTGTAACCTGTTTTTCACAGAGCACAACCATGTAGCCTAATGTACCATGCGTCTACAAGTAATGGCAGCTTATTAACTACTGTAAGTCAAAACACACCCCAGACTGTCAAACCAGCGTAAAAACTGTAACGATGCATGATCAACCTGTTTTTCGCAGAGCACAACCATGTAATGTGCAATGCAATCAAGGACAGCTTAAACTACTGTAAGTCAACACACCCCGAAGACTCTCAAATCCAGTGTAATGTTAAGTAATGTTAAATAGAAATGTAACGAGCACAACCATGTAATGTGCAATCCAAACTAAATTGAACTTTACGAGGCAAACAGCAGCGAGTCTGGAAGAAGAGCTGACACAACTGCACGACACTAATTTGAAAACAGGGAGAACAGACCGTTTGTTAAACCCCTCCCTGAACAGTGATAGTCCAATCATAGCTTAGCATCAGTAATGAGGTGAGTACGGAGATGTTCCCACAAAGTACATACAAAGAGTTTGGAGGGTAGTGACTTCTTTGGTCGTTCCAAAACCAAAAACAACAATAATGTTAACTAATGTTAAATAAAAATGTAACGAGCACAACCATGTAATGTGCAATGCAATCAATGACAGCTTAAACTACTGTCAGTCAACACACCCCGAAGACTCTCAAACCCAGTGTAATGTTAAGTAATGTTAAATAGAAATGTAACGAGCACAACCATGTAATGTGCAATCCAAACTAAATTGAACTTTACGAGGCAAACAGCAGCGAGTCTGGAAGAAGAGCTGACACAACTGCACGACACTAATTTGAAAACAGGGAGAACAGACCGTTTGTTAAACCCCTCCCTGAACAGTGATAGTCCAATCATAGCTTAGCATCAGTAACGAGGTGAGTACGGAGATGTTCCCACAAAGTACATACAAAGAGTTTGGAGGGTAGTGACTTCTTTGGTCGTTCCAAAACCAAAAACACAAGATCAGAAGTCTAAGGAATGGATTAAACTGCATGTTTATCTGCTGCTAACTTTAGCATGTCCAGCTAACTAGCTTACAACCTGCGAAAGTAACCTACTGTTACTTCCAAGGCCAATAGTTAGCATAAAGTTGAGTTATTATCACACATTTTTACACAGTACACGGGATATAACCGATCCTAACTAGGAGCCGTGGGCAGCCATTGTGCAGCTCTTGCTCGATGGCACCTTTGGGCTGGACTCAAACGGGCGAGTATAATCTGCAAAAAAGTCGAATATGGGTCACTTTGGCCTGCAGTCTGAAGTTTAACCTAATATTGGTGGCTGTGATGGCCGAGTGGTTAAGGCGTTGGACTCGAAATCCAATGGGATTTCCCCGCGCAGGTTCAAACCCTGCTCACAGCGGTCCTGTAATGTGTTTAATGACATGGTTCAACATGTAACATAAAAACTATCCTATCATTTAAATAATATGCTACTTAACATGTCATAAGTATATATATATAATACAATTAACCAAATGAGATCTATTGTATGGTATGAAGGTCAGGTAAGTTACAGTATAGGTAAAACAACAATAAATCTACATTGAACTTTACACTGGAGTCTGGAAGAAGAGATATGTTAAACCCCTCCCTGAACAGTGATAATCCAATCATAGCTTAGCATCAGTAACGAGGTGAGCACCACAAAGTTTGGAGGTATTTAAACTGAGCATGTCATAAGTATGGAAACCAGTCAAGTCTCAAGTCTCTGAGCTAGAGTCCATGTCAACTCTCAAGTCACTTGGGTTATAATGAATGTTGTATCAGCTGCTGCGTTCAATCCAGGCTGCTTATAACACTGCATAGCTACAAGGAATTCTGTAACTTTAAGCCGTTTTTCACTTACAGAGCACAACCATGTAATGTGCAATGCAATCAATGACAGCTTAAACTACTGTAAGTCAACACACCCCGCAGACTGTCAAACCCAGTGCAATGTTAAATAAAAATGTAACGTTACATGTTGTAACCTGTTTTTGACAGAGCACAACCATGAAATGTGCAATGCAATCAATGACAGCTTAAACTACTGTCAGTCAACACACCCCGCAGACTCTCAAACCGTGTAATGTTAACCAATGTTAAATAAAAATGTAACGTTACATGATTAACAATAAACCTGTAACATGTTTTTGACAGAGCACAACCATGAAATGTGAAATGCAATCAATGACAGCTTAAACTACTGTAAGTCAACACACC